GCAGGGGGAACACCACCTCCCTTGAAAGCCCATTCCAAATTTTGGCCCCCCTTACCATGAAGAAGTTTTTCTTGATATCTAGCCTAAATGTGCTCTCTGTCAGTTTGTGACCATTGTTCCTTGTTACCCCAAGAGGCACCCTGGTGAACAGAGCATCTCCGATCCCTTGCTGCGTCCCCCTAATGAATTTGTAGGCGGCCACAAGATCATCTAAGCCTTCTGTTGTGGACGCTGAAGAGGTCCAGTCTGTCCTCATAGGACTTGTCCTGTAAGCCCCTAACCATATGAGTGGCCCTCCTCTGGATCCTCTTGAGTCTGTCAACATCCTTCTTGAGGTATGGCACCTAAAACTGGACGCAGTACTCCAACTGCGGTCTGACCAATGCCGCATAGAGGGGAAGTATCAACTCCTTGAATCTATTTGTCATGCATCTGCTGATGCATGAAAAAGTGCGGTTAGCTTTGCTGATGATTTCATTACACTGATGACTCATGTTCATCTTGGAGTCCGCTATGACTCCGAGATCCCTTTCTGCTTCTGTGCTGCTGAGAGGGTCACTTCCCAGCCAGTAGGAGGGTCCTCCTTCGTCTCCTCCTTAAAAAATGTACTGTGCCCTATTGTGTACTGCCCACTTTTCTAACCTGTCCAGGTCTGCCTGCAATTTAGTATCATCTACAAACTTGGACAGAGTACACTTCACACCCACATCTAAGTCACTGATGAAGATATTGAAGAGTACAGGTCCAAGGACTGAACCCTGCAGGACCCCACTACCCACATCCTTCCAGGTCAATACCAACCCATCAAATACCACTCTCTGGGTGGTAAGCCAATTTGTCACCCACTGGACCGTGTAAACATCTATGTCATGGCCTCTTAATTTATTTATGAGCTACCATATCAAAGGCCTTGATAAAGTCCAAGAAAACAACATCCAACTCTACTCATGCATCTAAGCATTTTGTGACCCTGTCAGAAAATGAAACCAGATTGGTCAGGCATGATCTACCTGCTACAAATCCATGCTGGTTTCCCTGCTGCATTATTTTCCCCACTGGACTCCCACAAATATGATCCTTCATAATCTTTTCAAAGACCTTTCTAAGGATGGAGGCGAGACTGACTGGCCTATAATTACTCCAATCCTCCTTCCTCCCCTTCTTGAAAATAGGGACCGCATTGGCCCTTTTCCAGTCCTTCGGGACCTGACCCAAGTGCCACGAGGACTCAAATTGCCATGCCAGTGGTTCTGCTATGACACCGGCCAATTCCTTCAGTACCCTCAGATGCAGCTCATCCGGACCTGCTGACTTGAGCACATCCAGTCCCTCCAAGTGACTCTGCACCAAGTCAGCATCGACAGTTCATAGATTCATAGATGTTAGGGTCGGAAGGGACCTCAATAGATCATCGAGTCCGACCCCCTGCATAGGCAGGAAAGAGGGCTGGGGTTAGATGACCCCAGCCAGATGCCTATCCAACCTCCTCTTGAAGACCCCCAGTGTAGGGGAGAGCACCACCTCCCTTGGGAGCCCATTCCAGACTTTGGCCACTCTAACTGTGAAGAAGTTCTTCCTAATGTCTAGTCTAAATCTGCTCTCTGCTAGCTTATGGTCATTATTTCTTGTAACCCCCAGGGGCGCCTTGGTGAGTAAAGCCTCACCAATTCCCTTCTGTGCCCCCATGATGAACTTATAGGCAGCCACAAGGTCACCTCTCATATTCTCTTGCGGAGGCTGAAGAGGTCCAGGTGCCCTAGTCTCTCTTCATAGGGCTCGGCCTGCAAGCCCTTAACCATACGAGTGGCCCTTCTCTGGCCCCTCTCCAGGTTCTCCACATCCCTCTTGAAGTGTGGCGCCCAAAATTGCATGCAGTATTCCAACTGCGGTCTGACCAGCGCCAAATAGAGGGGAAGTATCACCTCCTTGGTTCTGTTCGTCATGCATCTGCTGATGCACGATAAAGTGCCATTAATTTTTCTGATGACTTCGTCACACTGACGACTCATGTTCATCTTGGAGTCCGCTAGGACTCCAAGATCCCTTTCCGCTTCTGTGCCTCCAAGCAGGTCATTTCCTAGGCAGTAGGTGTGCTGGACATTTTTCCTCCCTAGGTGCAGCACTTTGCATTTCTCCTTGTTGAATTGCATTCTGTTGTTTTCCGCCCATATGTCCAACCTGCCCAAGTCTGCTTGTAGTTATTCCCTGCCTTCCGGTGTGTCCACTTCTCCCCACATTTTTGTGTCATCCACAAACTTGGACAGAGTACACTTCACTCCCTTGTCCAAGTCGCTGTCCAACTAATTACTCCTCCTTGTTCAGTATGGGTCCTATGCTGCTCTGCACCTTCCTTTTACTTCCTACATACCTAAAAAAATACTTTTTGTTGTCTTTAATTTGTGTTGCCAGCCTCAGCTCTGTAGTTGCTTTGGCCTTTCTAACTGCCTGCCTGCAAGTGTGGGCCAAGTAGGTATACTCCTCCTTGGTAGCTTCCCCCTGCTTCCACCATCTATATGCCTTCCTTTTTGCCCTTAGTCTCCCCTGGATTTCCCTGTTTAGACAAGACGTTTTTTGGCTTTTTTCCCCCTTTTTCCTCATACTGGGATAGTCTCCCTCTGCGCCCAAAAGATCACTTCCTTTAGGAACAACCATCCTTCCTGGACTCCCATCTCCCCAATACTCTTCTCCTGCAGTGTGTGACTAGACTCCTAAGGACACTAAAGTTAGCCTTCCTAAAGTCAAGCACTTCCACGCTACTCATTATCTTCCCCACCCTATGCCATATGGTGAATTTGATTGATTGGTGGTCACTGTCCCCAAGGTGACCATGAATCTGCAGCTCTCCCAACAGGTCCTCCCCTAGTAGCCAACACCAAGCCCAGTAAGGTATTCCCCCCTAGTGGGACTGTATACCTACTGCATTAGGGGAAGGTCCTGCATGCAGGTTAAGAACCTACGTGAATGGGTGGATTTGGCTGACTGCTCCTCCCAGCAGATGTCAGGGTAGTTTAGGTCCCCCATTACAACCACTTCTCTAGACTTTACAGCCTGAGAGCTGCCTCAAGAATTCCAAGTCTAGCATTTCCTCTTGGTGTGGTGGTCTGTAGCAGACCCCCACCACCAAGTCCCTTTCCCCCCCGACCTCCATGTATGCTAAACCACAATTCCTCAACTTTCTCCTCCTCTGATCCCATTTTGATTAGGGAAGATGTATAATGCTCCTTTACATAGAGAGCAACCCCACCCCCTTTCCTCCCTACTCTGTCCCTTCTGTACAACCTGTAGCCCTCAATGTGTACCACATGGGTGGGGTCCCACCAGGTTTCCATTAGCCCTACTAAGTCAAAGTTATTATCTGGAAGCAGAAGTGCGAGTTCTTCCTGCTTGTTCCCCATGCTCCTAACATTAGTATAGAGGCATTTGAGCCCTCCAAATGGTGCCTTTGATGCCTCCCCCATTCTGATGCCCAAAGGTCCCCTTGGTACTTCCCTGGGGTATACTTCTGTATGTCTCGCAGTTTGTAGGTTCTACACTCTCTCCATCTCCTGCCTCCCTATCCGCTGCTGTACTTAGTTTAAAGTCCAGTGTAGGAGGTCAGCCAACCTGTAAGAAAAGAGACACTTACCTTTTGTGGAGAGATGAAGCCCATCACATCCCAGGAGGTCCCTTGCATGGAAGTGTGGATCATGGTCCAGGAAGCCAAAACCTGCACGATGGCACCAACTCCAGAGCTGTGGGTTTACTTCCCTTACTGTGACCGCTGACTGGGAGGATCAATGGAAATGGAGGCACCAGGGGGTGAGGGACAGGCTGGGGTGGGGGGCCGTGGATGGGGGGAAATGGCAATGTAACAGTGTAGGTAAAAGTGCAGAGGTACCTGGGGAGTCAGATGTCCGGCGGGTTGCAGCATGCCAGAACTCCACTGTGTATATTGAGTCCATGAGTTCCTGTACCTACTACCTAGGAGGCTGATAAAGTGCAGTTCATAGGCCCAGCTCTGAAAAGTTGTTTGTACATTCAAACAAGCCAACTCCCTACAGCTCAAAACACAAAACCTGCCAACTATCTCCAGTACCCCCACAAACTGCACACCAGAATCTATCAAAGACAACAAAACCCAACTAACCTGGGGGGGCACATTCCTCACCAAAAAAACCCACTCCGCCTCCAGTCTCTCAGGCCTGATCCTGAGAGGGAACAAATTACAAACCACTTTTCACAGCCGGGCCTATGAATTTCACTTCATCTGTCTCCTAGGTACAGAAACTCATGGACTCAATATAGATTAGACAGTGGAATGCTGACACGCTGCGACCTGCCAGACATCTGACACCCCAGGCACCTCTGCACTTTTACCTCCGCTGCTACATCCCCCTTTCTCCCCATCCACTACCGTCACACTAGCCTGTCCCTCACCCCCTGACGCCTCCATTTCCATTTTCACTGACTGGCTATGTTGCCTGGATTGCATGCCAGGCCAGCCCCTGGCTTCTTTACTATTCCTTCCATCCAGAACCAGGAGACACACCAACTGCAGGTACTTCCTCAGCCTGACAAAGGTTTTTCAACTCGAAAACTGGCATCCTGGGCAGCTAAGCTGAGCTCACTGGGAGCCTTACAACTGCACTGCAACCAGCAAGCATCAGGCCTGTCAAAGGCGTGACAGGTCTGGGCTTTACCCAGCCAAGACTGTGTGAGTGCATGTATTAGCTGGAAGTTATGGTGCCTTTTACCTGCCTTTCACCAGGGGATCGTTGGTTGTGGCATTTATG